CCCGGACAACCGCTGAAACATGATTTGTGGCAAAAACCTTGTGTATTTATATTTCGCTGAACGAATCGAGAATGAAATGGAATTGGATGATTGAAAATGAGTCTCCCGTATTTTTCGATCGACATACTGAGTATTAATATTTTAATCTCATTCAGTAGCGCGAAAAATTTCTTCGCCGGCATTAATGTATTCAGACGTGAAAAATGCTTTGATGGGGATCCTTCCACGAATTGACATGTCCGAAATTTCCGTGACAACGGTCTGCGCGAGAACATTAACGCTTGCGCTGTTCGTCGTTATCTGCAACACAAATTTAAGCATCGGTTCGAGATTCATTAATTTGAACTCAATTTATCTTCTATATTCTAATTCGAACTCGATCACAAATTTGCCATGATTTTGAAAAAGAGAACGATTTCTTCACCTGAAAATATTTGGAGATGTTTCCGCGGGCCGAGAAATTGACGCGACAAAGCGGGCCATCCAGCGAAGTTGGCCCTCTCGGTACCGGACTCTCCTAGATGAGGGGGATAAACTTCTCAGTTCATTGGGACGATGCTAAGCAAAATAATTTTTATAAAAATTTGGCATTAAGTACGGGTTTCCCGTGACGGCGCAACTTCGTCCATCGCTCAAATAAGTATGAAGGATTGACCAAAAAACTACCGTTGGCCTATCTTGTCCAGCAATACATTTAGCTCTGAGAATAGACTTCTGAGTTGTGCTGTAATCTCAAATCTTATCTAATATTTTATATTGCAATGTACAGGCTTGAAAGAACCATACTCCTTAGAACAATAACACTTTTAAAGCGTTCATGAATACCTCATTCAATGGAATCATCTCAAGGTCGCCAGCTGCATTGCACAAGAAGGTGCCTTTTGGTGTGTCCTGCAGAACTCGAACGCCCACTTGATCGCCACATTTGCGAAATAGTTCCATTTTAACCATGATCGGATTGTTTCGCACCACCTGGTTCAGGCACAGGTTCGGCTTTGTATTACATGCACACCTGGGTCGCACGAAGAAAAAAGGTACTTGTCAACTAAACAAAAGCTATGAAGCAGTACTGTCCATTTATTGCTACCTACGACATTAGGCAAGGTACGGTTCAGCTCCTTACAGTTCGTAGACTATAATAATACCCTTTAAACCAAGAAATATCCATGCAGCATTTGGATGTCAATGGTTAATCGTGAGATAGTGAATTTAGCAACGGAGATCTTCAAGAAAAAAACTCGGGCTTATTCCAGAATCGAAAACATGATGAATTTTTCTAAAAGCTTAAAATCGGTGTCACAAAAATCCCCGACGACGGGTACTAGAACTGGTTTTCCAGGTAAGTTTTACCGGAACAACTTTAAAGGATGAGAAAACCTGAATTTATGCTCAACCACCAATTTAATTGCTTTGCCTCCAATGACTGATGCATTATAGCCTCGTAATATCTCATATCGACTGTAACATCGATTAAATTCAGATTTTGAAATATTCAAAATTAATTTTTTGCTAATAACTACATTTCAGAAGCAATTAAGTAGAACTTAAATTACAATGAAATCTATGTACTGTATCTGAAAGTTGTCATGATCACTCTTCACGTTCACTAAACATCATTCCGAAAAATAAACGTAGTTTGACAAGTATGCACTTTTTCTGTTTTCAAACATAACACGGAACCTGTTAAATGATAATTGACGTACTTGGAGCAACACTCGACTATCGCCGACGACTGTCGTGGGTAAAGCAACCTGCGGAACATGTACCCCGCGGATGCATCGCTTCGGGCCAGCTGGACAGTAAGCCGGCGACATTCGCACGTCCTGACTCCCTTTTCACAAAATCATCAGAACAATTCATGAATAAACATTGCCCTCTGAAATGTTGAAAATGTTCCCCATTATATACCTCGCATCCATCGACGCAGGAGCAACACGTTCGTTTATCAAATGGCAACGGGACATAATTAGTGACGACGGGAACAACGATGTATTCTGTGTCCATCATCCCTGGTGTAGACGTCTGGTCAAGGCAATGAATTGGCAGCACCTCCTGGCCACGACTGACGTCCTGAAAAATACGGCTTTGTACATTTACTGATTGGAAAACACGTCTCGATGAATCCCTGATGAGCGCCTCAAGCTATAAAAAAAAAAAGAGTTCGCTCCCGAGGTTAAGACGTAATCAATAGCTTATATGCTTCGCCATATGCCAGGAACACGATTTTACAGGGCGAAACAGTTTGCAATTTTCAACAGAAATAACAATAAATGCTCTAGAGAAAAACGTTAACAGCAGAAATTGCTTCTCACATTCTAAATTTCAAACAAAAGTACACAGAGAGACCCCAGAATGCAGACACCCCAATAACATACGGACAATGCGACTTGGGGACACTTGAAACTTTGTAAAATCTGACCCGACATCTGGGTAATACTGTATCTCAACACACTGACACATTTCCAACTTTTTTGGAAAATTTAAAAAATTTCTTTTCTCTAAATTCTCACATTTCTTGAAGAAATGTAGCTATTTACATTCACAAATACTGTACTAAAAATACAGTTTATTGTAAAATTACCCCAATTCATAATCAAAAACAAGCTAATTATGTGCTTCTTTTTCAGAATTATTTTTATCATGTGTGCACAAGTGCTGGGTGTAGCTAGACTTGTTCTCATTCTTGGCTTCTTGAGCTCCTTCTGATGCCAAAAGATCAGATTACGAGTGGTTTTTTTCTGTACATTTATTTTATTTACTTGAAGATTTTAAAAAATACAGTATTTCACTCAATCTTCGGGAGACTTTTTCTTAAATAATGATCTATTACAGGGAACCAAGTAAAAATATTCCCATTGAAGTCTATGGGAAAATGAGGTCTGACATGCAGCGATGTTCCGACATATAAACACAAGGTCCAAGCACCAATTACGTCCGCATCTCGAGGTCCCAACTTTATTCTGCATTTCGTCCAGACATTGATCTGAATTTTCAAGATTTGTAGCTCGGTGGGCGGAATATTTATTTTCTCGTCAAGAGTAGAATAATGAATAACAAAAACGATTTACGATCATTTTTGGAGATGACAATAATAAAGTTGTGCAAGACTCAATTCAATCAAGTCCCAGATGATTATTATTTTCGAAACTATAGAACCATCACCCTCGTAAATTCTGTTTCCTCAAATAAATTCCAAGTTCATAAAATTCATACAGTTTCTCGCAGCTTCGTCACCACCCAGGGACCAGCATGACGCAAATTCGTATTTTCGTCATTCATCGTCTCATCATCGTCACCATCATCATCCGAGTCATCCAAGTGCATCCACGTCAACCTGGAGCACCCCCGTTGCTGGTGACGATGCTGTTGCAGTTGCAGACGAATATCAGGCAAACCAGCAGCTGGCACAGAAGTCATGACGTACTCGTAGGCGAGGAATTCCACACCCGAGACCACGTGAACACTGAAGCAAAACATATCCACCGACAACGGCAACGGACTTCCCATCAGGTGACGCTGGACTTGGGCCAGATTTCGCAGGCGTCGACGGCAGTGACACGGGCTTATGTAAACAACGGAACCGCTCTTGCTGCTCACTTCTCTCCGGTAGCTATTTAGATCATTCAGGACAATTTTTTTCATGAAAATCGTGATACTGTAGAATAAAGTACAGTGATGTATTGGCTGACCTTAAACTTGTGGTAAAACCAAGCCATTGATGTTTATATATCCTTCAGTGCTATATCCCTTTGATACATGATACTGTATTACCTTTGATACATGATACTGTATCTCAGGTGTCCGATGGTATAATTACTGCAGTTTGAATACAGTTGAACTTTAATTACTTGAACCTCCCCAAGTCAAATAAAGTACCTACTTAAGTCAATTTTTTCAAGTTCAGGTCTGAACAATGCAGGAAAAACCTCCCAAACTCCGAGGCTTTTCCTCTCAAACCTCTGTAACTCGAATTTTCTTTTTTTTCTTGACACAGAAGCAAGAAAAAAAAGTGGTACCGGGTCATCCGCCAGTCGGTCAATTGACGGTCGCGCACCTGCCGGTCGTCAAGCGCTGGTCGGTCCAACCGCCAGCCAGGGCAGTTCTTGGCCTTGCCNATCCTTATACAGTATATCCTTCAGTGCTATATCCCTTTGGTATATGATACTGTATTACTTACAAACTCATAACATTGCAACAGAAAAATTTTTCAATTCTCAGGTGTCCGATGGTATAATATATAATTACTGCAGTTTGAATACAGTTGAACTTTAATTACTTGAACCTCCCCAAGTCAAATAAAGTACCTACTTAAGTCAATTTTTTCAAGTCCAGGTCTGAACAATGCATGAAAAACCTCCCAAACTCCGAGGCTTTTCCTCTCAAACCTCTGTAACTCGAATTTTCTGAGGTCTATTGGTTTTTCTTCTCGACACAGAAACGAGAAAAAAAAGTACAGTACATTAACTTTGTGTGTTTTGAAAAGATGAGAATTGGGCAAATGAAATCTTGCCTCCTAGTTCAACATCCTGGCAAGTCATTTAAGAGGCAACTCTGAAGGCCCAAAATATCACCATTTAAAATTTAATGCACTTCTTTTATATTTTTCACAACAAAAATGCTTGTTTTCCGAACACAAAAACTCCATAACTCATATTTGTTTGCTGGTCCCTTGATGTTTGATACTGAATATGGGTTACTGCAGCACCAGAACATCTTCTCTTATTCTTCTGCCCAGCATTCCACACCATCCGAATTTGTTTTTAAAAGAATGTTGGGATTCTCACAATTTTTCAATAAGGTTATCTTCCAAATCTTGGAGGACTAGGAAAAATGTTTAGCTTCACATGATTTTAGCTTCACATGATGATTCATCAAAGAGTGTTTCTAAATCATCCAAGCAAAGAATAATTATCTTGGAACAAACTGAACACCTTGTGCTTCGATTTGTGCTCAGTGATTGACTTGTGCTGTGATTTTTGTTGAAGGAAATAAAATTGATGCCAATCCATCATTCATGCATTAGTATATGTACAAGGAAATTTTTTTTCAACATGTATGCCTGTATGTACTACGATGAATTCTCTTTTCAGGAAATTTGTGTGTGTGTGGAAGTGGGGGGGGGTTAAAATATTTTTAACGTTATTGTGAACGTTGACAGGCAACAAATAAAGCTTGCATATCAATCAATCCAATAGACTGGAAAAATGCAGTAAAAATGCAGCTTTCCCCAACAGGCATGTGATGTGACACATTCAATTTGTCAATGAACCTCACCCCAGCATTCCGGGATAGTCCAGCAGCCCAGGCTGGTGGCGCCTCCGCATGACAGCAAACGCGCGACAGGCTTCACGGTAATTGATCTCCGTCCCGCGCTGCTTTTTCGTCCACATTCCGCAACAAGGCAACCAAAATCTAGCTCTTCTTGGTCGCAAAGCCTCGACTAACACACCTCCGACAGACAGAAGTGACTCGTCAGAGTCGTCGATCATTTCATCCGTCGTCGTCGGTGCAGTTGAGGACGTCATCGGAGGAAAGACGTAGTCGAAAATTGCGGACGAATTATCGACCGACGGCGGAAGACTCGTCTGAAGCAGGGTTTCCACTCGGCGTTTCGCTAGTCGACGTCGAACCGACAGCAACTGGACAGATTCACACCAAAGCCACTTTTTGCGTTCCGAGCCGTCGCTATCGAGGGTGAGAGCCACGAGAAGCACGAGTGAGGCGTCCTTTTGGTCGACTCGGGCCAGCTCCATTGGTGCCCCGGGTTCCCAGGCCACATGCACCGGTTGGCCGGGTAGCATTGATGCTTCTTCGTATTTCTGCTCGTTGTAGCATTTTTTTTCGTCATTTCCAAGGCTTTCTGTTTTTGCTAGTTTTAGTTGAGAGGAGAGAAGGCTTGACAGCTGTCCCAGGACTTGCGGTGTCGTCGCACTCAAGCGCCAAATAGAGGAGTCCTCAGATGAAGGGTGGAGGTAGAGAGCTGGTTCATCCACATTTGACGTTAGAACGAGCCATCTGTCGACGCGAAATGTACAGGAACAGTTTTAAAGCTTGCTAAAAGTTATCTAAAACTTGTGACTCTTTTGCAGAGAAGCATGCATCAGTACTTATTTCAAGTTCAATCAACACGGGTCTCTCGAAACTACAGTGCGTAATTTTCTTCATTATTTTACAGGTATCATCTGGATCATCCTATATTAGAAAATGAATCACAGAAAAGATTTTGCCTCGATGAAGAACGATATTGATTTGAAAATGTCAACATATTCAACAATAAAGCATGTCCTACAGTAATTTTAATTGAACCCTCAGCAGTAGTGAATAAAATATTGCGCAATTTGTCTTTTTTCTGCCTTATTTGATTGAATGGGTCATTTTACGTCAAAATACTTGAAATACGGATTTTTAAAATACGAACTATTCCTTGCACAAAAATAAAAGTGGTGTGCACACACCGAGATTAACTTGTCAATATATACTCCGAAGTGAATATTTCATGGGTTATCTAAAAATTTAATTTTTAAATTTAACTTTTTCAATAAAAATACATACGCCCAGAAAAAATTTCCCGATCTGTTGCCTCATATTAATGTATTTTAGATGTTTCGACAGACATAAATTGTGATTCTACGATAAAATAATAATTTCAGAAATCTTAAAAATAGTTCCAGTTGAATTTAAACTGGTAAGAAATATCGCAAGAGAGGAAATGTATCGCATATATCGAAGTAGGCATTGAAGAACAAAGCGTTTCCGAAAATTTTGTAATTTTCAGATTGTTCATCAGTAGTATACAGTATATACAATGACAGAATTTAGTCTAAAGACAAACATCTTGAGTACGTTTCGTCGAACTCACGGCCT